AAGAACACTTTAATCATGCAAAGGGTTCTTTGAGTGTTCATAGTTCTATACAGAACCATTTGTTTAGTAAAGAACCCTTGGCATGATTATAGGGTTCTTTGCATCATGACAGCGTTCTTCAGATCGATGGAAAATGTGCTGTAGATGGTTCTATATAGAACCTTTTTGAAAAAAGGTTCTTCTATTGTCACAGTGTCAAGCTTTTGGGTGCTATATAGAACGCTTTTCGAAACGGTTCTATATAGAACAATCTACAGCACATTCTAAATCAATCTGAAGAACCCTTTCACCATGCAAAGAACACTTTAATCATGCAAAGGGTTCTTTGAGTGTTCATAGTTCTATACAGAACCATTTGTTTAGTAAAGAACGCTTGGCATGATTAAAGTGTTCTTTGCATCATGACAGCGTTCTTCAGACTGATTTAGAATGCTGCAGATGGTTCTGTATAGAACCTTTTTGAAAAAGGTTCTTCTATTGTCACGATGTCAAGCTTTTGGGTGCTATATAGAACCCTTTTTGAAAAGGTTCCATACAGAACCATCTACAGCACATTCTAAATCAATCTGAAGAACCCTTTCATGATGCAAAGAACACTTCATCATGCAAAGGGTTCTTTGAGTGTTCATAGTTCTATACAGAACCATTTGTTTAGTAAAGAACCCTTGGCATGATTATAGGGTTCTTTGCATCATGACAGCGTTCTTCAGATCGATGGAAAATGTGCTGTAGATGGTTCTATATAGAACCTTTTTGAAAAAAGATTCTTCTATTGTCACAATGTCAAGCTTTTGGGTGCTATATAGAACGCTTTTCGAAACGGTTCTATATAGAACCATCTACAGCACATTCTAAATCAATCTGAAGAACCCTTTCACCATGCAAAGAACACTTTAATCATGCAAAGGGTTCTTTGAGTGTTCACAGTTCTATATAGAACCATTTTGTTAACTAAAGAACGCTTGGCATGATTATAGTGTTCTTTGCATCATGACAGCGTTCTTCAGATCGATGGAAAATGTGCTGTAGATGGTTCTATATAAAACCTTTTTGAAAAAAGGTTCTTCTATTGTCACGATGTCAAGCTTTTAGGTGCTATATAGAACACTTTTCAAAAAGGTTCCATACAGAACCATCTATAGCGCATTCTAAATCAATCTGAAGAACGCTTTCACCATGCAAAGAACACTTTAATCATGCAAAGGGTTCTTTGAGTGTTCATAGTTCTATATAGAACCATTTTGTTAACTAAAGAACAATTGAAGAACAATTTTTAAGAGTGTATGAGCGTCTGATACCTGTTACTAATAACATTAATACTATAATTATTATTGTTTATTTTTATTTATTTATTATTTCGTCTTTAGACTGTAGGGGTAGAACATCATTTTCAACGTGTGAATGCGGATCACGCCTTGGTCAATAGGATAATGAGAGGAGGGGAACTCTGAGGAATTTTGGGCTGAAGTTCATTACGGCTTCTGTGGGTCACGAGAAGGCCGACCCCCTATATATCAAAGACAAAGTTCAGCGCGCTTGGACAAGGGTGGAGGAGAGGGGGGAGGAGGTGAGGTGCGAAATTTCGTCACGAGTAGGAAGGGTGAAGTGACTGGTAATTATAGGAAGCTGGAATTGAGAAGGAGGAGTTTTAGGGCGTGGCCTTTCCTCAAACTTCAGTTACGTCATAACTCCAAAAATTACCAGTATAAGAATACATGGTAGAATAAGTGGCCATCTATATTTTTGCAAGCTATGTAGTTGCTTTCTGGGCTATGATTTTGATTGCAGTACACATTATTTGAATGTAAAATGCTCCACTGATATGTCTGAGGTCTTTATATACCAGGTATATCTAGTTTATTATCACAATTATGTGTGATTAGAGTTTTAGAGATTAATAACGATCAAGACATCTTAAGACTGTCTACAGACATGGCTTAAAGACACGTCCTCATTTCTTAAAACATACCTCAAGATGTCTTAATGTGTCTTCGTAAGTGTGTCTTCAGACGTGTCTCAAGCTGTGGAGTGGGGGGACCAGCTGGGTGTCTGTAATGTCACTATTTCTGAGGGAAAAAAAACAGAAAGATGAAAAAATGCACTTAACTTTTTTTTCTTTTTTGTTTAACATGTAAGAAGTGTCTTGAGCTGCTCTATAACTTAATTGCTTTAGTCGTCTCCTGTTTCGTAGGCCTTCCCTGTACGCTACGACTTAACCTCCAGTGTGAGACCGAGCGCGGCCTTCACACGCTGCTCTCTGAGGCTTGCGGTTGGCTGCCATGGCTTTAGCTACCGTTATTGCATTTTGTGAAATGTCTCTCTCGGGTAAGAGCCAAAATCAGAAGTTCAGCTGTGACACTGCGCTGATTCCTCCTTGCCCATCCACTAATTGTTGTATTCGTAGCAACAGCAGAGGGCACTGTAGCCCAGCTATGTTACCAAAGTCAACACCCTACATCATTTGGGTCAGGAGAACCGCTGTTTGTGCTCATTCGTGAGGAACCTTGGTGTTTAACCTTGTTGTGTGCCGAGAAGCTCTGAAACACCTGTTCCGTATGTGGAGACTCCATCATGAACGCGCGTATAGTTTAATAGGAAATGGTGGATGAAAGCCTGTGGATACTGGATACATAAACTGCAAGGAATCAAGAGCCGGTAGCTGGCGAACGGAACATTTATAGGTATGTAGGGCTTAGTGGACGAAATCACTGTTTGAAAGGAAGCTGGGTCTTTGACAGCCTGCTTGGGTTACTTCTTACTGTAGAGCTCAACTTCACGGTTTCACGGGTGAGAACTCGGCGCGCGAATTTTTCTACATATTGAATGTTAGATGTAAACATGAGTCTTTCAGTGTGTGGGTTGGGTGTTTGCATAGTTCGTGCCGTTCTAGAGAGACCAACTGGTCAGCACTGTTGTGGTGGTGATAAGGACCAGACGTCCCCTCTAAAGCTGCTCACCGAAGGATAGCACCTGAAATGTTTTGATACACGGCCTGCACTGTTTGGTGTTTGGTTTGTTATGACAGTTTTATTATAAAGTCTTGTGCTACAATGTGTTTTACTACAGGTATTTTAGTTCATTCAGGGTCAAGGGGTACAATGCAGGGCACTGTAAGGCACAGAAATATAAGTACAACACCACAAAAAATCATATGTCAGATTTATGACTCATGTGCCATTATCAACAGTCATATAAGACTCAGAGTAGCAGTGTAAGTTCACAGGTGGGTTTTGCGTAATAAAAATGTGTATATCTGTGTTTGTAGAACGGCGACCCCTGTTTCCTATCACCACCACTGCAAAGACATCCGAACCTTTTACACCAACCACTCTGATCACTCTTACCATCTCAACCATTTTATTATGCGGATCTTTTGAAAAAATTGGTGAGTTCCCCATTTAACAGACCAACAGAGGATGCTACAGCACAGCTGCATATGCTATAGGGTAGGTGAATGTTATTATGAAATGGCTATATTTAATTCTGGTTCCACTAAACTGTTTTAAAGAAGGCCTTCTCGACCTCTTACTAGCCGAAAAGGCTCACTAGACTAAAAGGCATCTCTTTCTCTTCTTCTCTTCTTCTTCTTCTTCTTTTCTCTCTCTTTCTTCTCTTCTCTCTCTCCTTACTTTCTCTCTTTCTCTCTCTCTCTCTTCTATCTTCTCTTCTCTCTTCTTTCTTCTTCTCTTTCTTCTCTTCTATCTCTTTCTCTTCTTTCTCTCTTCCTTCTCCTCTTCTCATCTTCTCTCTTCTCTTTCTTCTTTCTCCTATCTCTTCCTCTTTCTTCTCTTCTATCTTCTTCTCTCTCTTCTTTCTTCTTTCTTCTTCTTCTCTCTTCTCTTTCTCTTCTTCTTCTCTCTTCTCTCTTCTTTTCTCTTCTCTCTTCTTCTCTTCTCTCTGATCTCTCTTTCTATCTCTCTCTCCTCTTTTCTTCTTCTTCTTCTTCTCTCTTCTTCTTCTCTTCTTCTCTTTCTCTTCTCTTCTTCTCTTTCTTCTTCTCGTCTTCTTTTCTTCTCTTATCCCTTCTCTCTCTTCTATCTTCTTCTCTCTCTCTTCCTTTCTTCTCTTCTCTCGTCTTCTCCTCTTTCGATTCTCTTCTTCTTCTTCTAATCTACTGCTTTCTCTCTCTTCTTCTCTCTCCTATCTTTCTCTCTTCTCTGTTCTTCTCTCTTCTCTATCTCTCTTCTCCTTCTTCTTCTCTCCTTCTTCTTTCTCTCTTCTCTTTCTTATCTCTCTTCTCTCTTCTCATCGCTTCGTGTCTTCTCTTCTTCTCTTTCTCTCTCTCTTTCTCTGAGGTCTTCTCTTCTTCTTCTAATTCTCTTCTTCTCTCTCTTCTTCTATTCTCTTTCTGCTTGCTTTCTTCTTCTACTCTTCTTCTTCTTCTTATCTCTTCTCGCTTCTCTTCTCTCTGTCTATCTTCTCTCTTCTCTCTTCTCTCTTGCTTCTTCTCTCTCTCTCTTCTTCTCTCTTCTTTCTTTCTCTTCTTCTTTCTCTTCTGCTTCTTTCTTCTTCTCTCTCTTCTCGTCTAGCTCTCTTCTCTCTCTTCTCTTCTTCTTCTCTTCTTATCTGAATTCTCTTCTCTCTCTCTTCTGCTTCTCTTCTTCTCTATCTCTCTCTTCTTCTTCTTCTCTCTTCTTTCTCTTCTTCTCTAATTCTTCTTCTTCTTCTTCTATCTCTTTCTATCTTCTTCTCTCTGTCTTATCTCCTCTTCTGCTTTCTTCCTTCCTTCTCTCTCTCTCTTTCTTCTCTCTTTAGCTTCTTCTCTTCTTCTCTTCCTTCTCCTTCTCTTCTTTCTATCTCTGGCTATCTTCTCTTTCTATCTCTTCTTTCTCTTCTCTTCCTCTCTCTATCTTCTTCTATTCTATCTTCTCTCTTCTCTCTCTTCTCGCTTCTTCCTTCTCTTTCTTTCCTTCTTCATCGTCTTCTTCTTCTTCTTCTTCTCCTTTCTTGTCTGCTCTTCTCTTTCTCTTCTACCTGTCTCTTCTGCTCTTCTCTGCTCTTCTTCTTCTCTCTCTCTACTTCTTCTTTATCTTCTTCTTCTCTCTTCTCCTACTCTTCTTCTCTCGTTCTCTTCTGTCTTCTCTATCTCTCTTCTTCTTCCCCAAATTCTCTCCTTCGTTCTCTTCTACTCTTCTCTCTCTTCTGTCTCTTCTCGCTTTCTCTTTCTCTTCTTCTGTCTTCTTATCTTTATCTTCTATCTCTCTCTTCTGCTCTCTTCTTCTTCTTCTTCTTCTAAATTCTTCTCTCTTCCTTTTCTTCTGCCTCTCCTTCTGTATCTCCTATCCTCTACTGTCTTCTTTCTTCAATTCTTGCGTCTCTCTTCTTCTCTTATCTTCTCTTCTTTCTCTCTTCTTCTTCTTCTTCCTTCTTTCTCTACTTCTTCCTATCTTCGTCTCCTCTCTTTCTCTCTGTCTCTTCTCTTCTCTTTCTCTTCTCTCTAATCTTCTCTCTCATCTTCTCTTCCTCTTCTCTTCGCGTGGGTCTTCCTCTTCTCGTACTTCTCTTCTGTCTCTTCTCTAATTCTTCCTCTCTTCTCTATTTTCTTCTTCTCTCTTCTCTTTCTTCTGTCTATCATTCTTTCTCTCTCTAAAGTTCTTGCTTCTATCTTCTCTTCTCTCTTATCTTTCTTCTAAATCTCTCTATGCTCTCTTCTTCTTCTCTTCTCTTCTTATCTTCTCTATCTCTGTCCTCTTCTTCTCTCTCTCTCTTCTCTCTTCTCCTCTTCTTCTCTTCTATTCTTGCTCTCTATCTCTTCTCTCTCCTATCTTTCATCTTCTACTCTTCTTCTTCTCTTCTTCTCTCCTTCTCTCTTCTGCTTCTTCTTTCTTCTCTTCTTCTATCTTCTTTCTCTCTCTCCTATCTTCTCTGTCTGCTTCGTCTGTACTATCTCTTCTTCTTTGGCTCTCTCTTCTTATCTCTCTTCTTCTTCTTATCGTATCTTTCTCTTCTTTCTTCTCTCTCTTCTTTCTCTCTTTCTTCTTCTCTCTAATCTCTCTCCTTCTTCTGATCTCTCTCTTCTTCTCTCTGTTCTCTTCTCCTCTATCTTCTCTATCTCTTCTCTTCTCTTCTCTTCTTCTCTCTTCTCTTCTCTCTTCTTGTCGTCTTCTTCTGCTTCTTCTTCTCTGCGTCTTCCTGTCTCTTTCTCCTATTCTTCTTCTACTTCTTCTCTTCTTCTCTCCTTATCTATCCGTTTCTCTAATTCTCTCTTCTCTTCTTCTTCTCTTCTGTCTTCTCTTCTTCTCATGCTCTTCTTTCTTCTTCTTCTTCTTCTCGTCTTCTCTCTCTCGTCTTCTCTCTCTCTCTCTCTCTACGATCTCTTCTCTCTTCTCTCTTCTCTCTATCTCTATCTTCTTCTCTTCTTTGCTGTCTCTCTCTTCTGCTCTTTCTTCTTCTTCTATCGCTTCTTCTATCTCTTCTTTCTCTTCTCTCTTCTTCTTCTCTTCTTTCTCTCTCTATCTCTCTTCTTCTGTCTCTTCCTCTCTTTTAATCTTTCTTCTTCTTCTCCTATCTTCTCTCTGTATCTCTTCTCTTCTTCTCTCTTCTTCTCTCTTCTCTTTCTCTTCTTTTCTGCTCTTCTTGCCCCTTCTCTTCTCTATCTATCTTTTCTGCTCTTCTTCTCTATCTCTCTTCTTCTCTTCTGTCTCGTCTTCTCTCTTCTATTCTCTCTTATCTTCTTCTCTCTTTCTTCTATTCTCTCTCTCTGTTCTCTGTCTTGGTTCTTCTCTCTCATTCTTTCTTCGTCTCCTTTCTTTCTCTTCTCTTCCTGTCTTCTTCTTCTTCTTTCTCTTTTCTTTCCTAATTCTTCCCTTCTTCTCTCTTCTATTCTCTTGCTCTGATCTTCTCTTCTCTGCTTATCTCTATCTCTTGTTCTCTCTCTTCTATCTTCTTCTTCATTCTCTGTGGCTCTTCTTCTCTTCTTCTCCTTTCTTCTCTTCTTCTTCGTCTTTCTCTGCTCTCTTTCTCTTCTTCTTCTTCTCTCTCTTCTCTATACTTCTCTTCTTCTATCTTCTTCTTCTCTCTTCCTCTTCTTCTGTCTTTCCATTCTATATCTCTCTTTCTTTCTCCTCTCTCTTCTTCGTCATATCTTCTTTCTGTCTCCTCCTCTTCTCTCTTCGTCTTTCTTTCTTCTTCCTCTCTTCTTCTCTCTTACTCCTTCCTTTCTGTCTTCTTCTTCTGTATCTGCTTCTATCTGTCTCTTCTCTGTCTGCTTCTTATCTCTATCTTCTGTCATCTCTCTCTTTCTTCTCTTCTCTCTCTCTTCTATCTCTTCTTCTCTCTCTGTCTTCTCTCTATCTTGCTCTTCTTCTTGATCCTCCTTCTCTTCTCTCTTCTTCTTTCTTCTCTCTATCTTCTCCTCTTCTTTACTATCTTCTGTCTTCTCTTCTTGCTTTGCTTCTTCTCTCTCTCTTCTTCTCTTTCTCTTCTTCTTCCTCTTCTCTCTGCTATCTCTTTCTTCTTTTCTATTCTTCTTCTTCTGTCTTCTTTCAGCTTGCTTCTCTGCTTTCTCTCTCTCTTCTCTTTTCTCTTTCTCTCTTCTCTATCTCTTCTCTTCTCTTTTCTCAATCTGCCTATCTTCTCTACTCTTCTGCTCTTCTCTTCTGTTCTATCTCTTCTTCTTCTTTTTCTCTTCTGTGCTTCTATCTCTTTCTTCTTCTTCTCTTCTTCTTCTTCTTCTGATCTTCTGCTCTGTCTTCCTCTCTCTTTCTTCTCTCTTTCTCTTTCTTCTTCTTCTCTGTCTCTTCTGCTCTCTCTTCGTTCTCTTGCTGGTCTCTTCTTCTTTCTTCTTCTCTCTTTCTTGCTCTCTCTCTTCTCTCTCTCTCTACTTCCTCTATCTTCTTCTCTACTTCTTTTCCTCTGTCTGTCTCTTCTCTTCTCTCTCTATCTCTATTCTTCCTTCTTATCTTCTTCTCTCTTCTCTCTCTTCTTCTCTGCTTCTCTCTTCTTTTCTGTCTCTCTTTCTTTTCTTCTATGAGGCTTTTTACTCTCGTCTCTTT